TACTCCCAATTAAGCGGCGGACGTGGGATAGGGTTATTGGGCATAATTTTACACAATATCTCACTCATGTTTTTATTAATGTTATTTATTTATTTATCTTTTTAAAGTTTTAGAGGTGTGTGTGTGGTGTATATACATTTATTATATGTTAACTTATCTTTCTTTTAAGCTCTTACTTATTTATCTTTTTAAAGTTTTAGAGGTGGTGTTTGTGTATATACATTTATTATATGTTAATTTATTTTTTTATATAAATTTATTTATACATTTTATATATATATATCTATATATTCATTGGGGAGGTGCTGTGTGTGATTGTGTTTTTTATTTCCTTTGTCCCCATGTTTGCGCTTTTTAACCTCCCTTCCCCCTTTAACATTTCCTCTCTGCCTTTCCCGCTGGCAGTCGCTCTGCTGCCTAGACTGTTTTTAATAAAATCGTCTTAACTGTCTTATTTCAGGGTTTTGATGAAAGCCTTTTTAAAGGACAGCCCCCTTGTGCCAGTGCCCCTCGTGGCCCTCTTAGGAGGGCCACGCATCTTACTAAACCTAACCCTGCCCGTGCCTAGGGGGCTTTAGTGTTATTTTTAATATTTTTAAATTTTTTTTTTTTTTTTTTTTTTTAAATTATTTTTATGTTTTGCATGTTTGGACGCTGGTGCTTGACCCCTACCGAACCCTGACCTCGACCGCCATTTTTATTTTTATTATGTAATGATATTGTTTTATTTTTTAACTCATTTTCTTCCTCTACAGCTCTGGTAAATACCCCATCCCCAACCCTCTAGCCCTAACCTTAACCCCTTCAACCCCTGGCCCTAACCATAACCTTTCATGGTACGGCTAGAGGGCGGGCCTCCGGAACTTATTTTTTTTCTTTTACAGCTCTGGTAGAGACCCTAACCCCAACCCTCTAGCCCTAAACTTAACCCCTTGACCCCCTGGCCCTGACCATAACCTTTTATGGTACGGCTATAGGGTGGGCCTCCGGAAACTTTGGGCCCCCCCCCTCGCTTTTGTTACCATCTGTCAGGCTTTCTTTTTTCTTTTTAACTTTTACCGGGGTACTATACCTTTAAACCCACCAGGTCACATGCTCTTCTGAACAACAGGTGACGGGCTCGACCAATCACAAACCAACAGGGTTTGGTCCAGCCCCCAACATTTCTTTTTAACAGTCACTGATGAGCATGTGGCCACCTCTACTCTCCTGAAGAAGCCTCAACGGCGAAACGTCGAGACCGGAGACCGCTCTCTCTTTTTTACATTTTTTTATGGCAAGATTTTAAACTTTCTTTTTATTATTAAAGTATATACCTTTTAAAACTAGGACAGCGATTGCCTTTTTTAGCCAACTATTTTTAAACCCACAAGATGGCCGCACCTTGTTAAGCCACAGCAGGGTTTGGAGCAGGACAAGGCCGAGGGTGAGTCACTTGGATTTTACCAGCAAAAGAGTGTGCACACTGAAGATTCCTACCACAACTCACCAGAACTTGGACCCTTGGACTTTCTATATCCTCAAACATTACAGTCTGCTGTGTATGGCTTTAAATATAACAGGATCAATTACATCAATCTGATCCTTAAACGTAAGTGTCCGGTAGTTGAACTTGTTTTACTTGGTTGCAATCATTTCCTTGTTTTAAAACTCTTTTTTTATACAACAAACAAGGTTCTATAGGGAATTGTCTCTTTCTCTCTTTCCCCCCCCCCTTTTTTTTCTCTTTCTACTCCTTTTAACTTGTCTATTCAATTCTTTTTGTTTTATTGTTATTTTTAACCAACAATTGTTTTTTACTCAAGGGTGGGGCTGATTGCCCGGCCCAGCCTCGGGTTTGCAGGAAACCATCCTGTGGCCAACGCCGGTATTGGCTGAACTTTCACTCCTTTCTTCCTCCCCCTCCCTCTCCCTTCCTTTTTTACTCTTTTTCAATTTCTTCATGGACTCTCCGAACCCTCAGCGATCCAACATGCCCATACCCCTTAATAACCGTTTTTCAGCACTGGCTTCTCCTCCTGGGGAGGTGAGGGGCGGGAATGTATTACATCGCTCTCGTCCCCTCCTCCCCACGGGGAGAACTACACAACCTCCACACCCACATAGTCTACCTCCACACCCACATAGTCTACCCACACATATCTATTTACAAGCCAAATCATATTTCAAATTACTGCAGGCCATTCACCACTCAGAAATTCTCAACACTACATTCAACAACCATACATTCCCACAGGGCATGATGAGGAAGGTGACTCGCCTCACCTCCTTCATCAAGCCCTCCTCACCCAATGAAACAACCCAACTCAAGATACAACAGAACACTGACACCTGGATGCTAAACAATATGCACATCCTCCGTGAGCACTATGACTCTGTGATCGCTGTGGGGTTGGAGACCATCCCTACTTTTAATCAGATTCCCTTTGACAAGGCGCTCCAGTGGGGGAGATCGAGATATGGGAGGAAGCTCACCTCCTCCTCCATCAACACACTGCGGGACATCACATCTAAGAGCCCGCCGACGGAGGGGGGGGCCCCTATGTCTCGACTCTCCCCCCTTGACTACCCCCCACTCCCTAACCCAGTAAATCCCCTCCTCTTTCAACAGTTGGACCCCTCTCACCATCCCATTTCCCCTCCGCTCACTACCACCTTACTTATCACTCCTTCTTCTCCTCCATCCCTTACTTCTCTCACTCCTGCCCTCAAGATTCAAACTCCTCCTACTTCTCCTTCTCCTCCCCCCCTTACCCCTTCTTCTTTTCCTCTTCTTCCCCCCTACAGAGACCTCTGTACCCCCAGTGAGGGCGCGGGGGCTTTTGATGTGGTGGCTCCGCCCACGACCCATCTGCTCGAATGCAACCCGCCGCTTACAGTAGAGGTGGAGATTCATCCCCTTCCTCCCAGAGAAAGCGGCCGGTTGCGGGCCCGTCGGGCGGAGCGTCCCGTCATCTCCCCTGCGCCTTCCTCCCCCTCTCCCTCACACACGGATGCAACTCACCCACCACAAACGCACTACAGTAATGTGGCTCTCCCGTGCAGTAACACTATCTCCTCCTCTTTCTCCATAGACACACCCCACCAGCAGAGGGAGCCAGAGCGGGTTGCCGCGGAGTCTGCTAACACCACAGCAGTCACGGAGGCGGGCAATAAAAACATGAGGAGAATAGGGGACATTAAAAGCGTTACGCTGACTTTACCCCCACCATCTGATTTGCCCGCTTCTGCCGCCAGCAGCAACTCCGCGGCCCCACTTGGCTCTCCAGGACGCCCGGAACCACACTCGCACCCCCACACTTACCGCAAAATTCAGGACTGGTCGCTGGAGGTGCGGAAGACGACCCTGGTGATTGGGGACTCGAACCTGTCCCGCATTCCAAAATTCACCCACCCACACATTCAAGTAGACAGTTACCCCGGTGCAAACTTCCATCACATAAATGCAATTTTAAGTAAACTCACTCCTCACCCACAACCACTTCACGTTATTTTATCAGTAGGCCTGAACAATTGCCTTTCAGAGCACGAACCCACCACCATTAGTAAACAGTTAAAAACACTCTGGAAAACGGCTCACCGCACTTTCCCCAACGCCACCATCTACATCCCCATCATTAACTTCTCTCCCTCTTTAAACTCCCGTAAACAGTCACTTCTCAACTTTCTCAACACCACCATTTCCAGTAAATTTCACTTTTTATCCGAAATCAACCCTCTTTTGTTTCAGGTGACTAGGGACAACATTCACTGGACATCCCAGACGGCGGAGATGTTGTTCGGGTACTGGAAACAGCAGTTAAACTTGTAACGGGGGAGGAATGTGACCATACATCTCCCCCTTCATCTAACATAACCAACCTCTGCTCCGTTCTCTCCCTCACGCCTACACAGCGGGAGATACTGGAAAAAGGACTTACCTTCATTCCCACACCCAAACCTCCTACCCGACCTGAGCTCAGAGGGGATCTCCACAACTTTCACAGGAGGCTGAAGCTGTTAGACCACTTCTGGGGAGCACCGAGACGAGAGCCTGTCCCGTTCACTGGACCGTCCAGCTGGGAACCACGCCCAAACACCCTCTCACCTCAGATCACCCAACTCATTCAGAAAAATCTAGCAGCACTGACACGATGGCGCCCCCTTGCACACACGCAGCCTAACATTAGCCAGCCACACAAACACATTCTTAAAACATTGGGTAATAACAAACACATAGTCATTAAACCAGCTGACAAAGGGGGCCAAATTGTTTTACAGGACAGACATAACTACATATTAGAAGCAGACAGACAATTAAATAACAACACATATTATGCACCACTCACGCAATCATTACAGTTAGAAACACAAACACTCATTAGGGACATTACACATAGTCTTCATGACAAACAATACATCAATTCACAACAAAAACAGTACCTGGACGGTCCGGATGAGCCCAGACCTCGCCTCTTTTACCTGCTCCCCAAGATACACAAGCCTCCGGAGACTTGGACGGTCCCTTCTGTGGTTCCGGTCGGCCGCCCTATAGTCAGCGATTGCGGTTCCGAGTCCTACAACATTACAGAATATATTGACCACTTTATTAATCCGCTTTCTCAACTTCACCCCGGTTATCTTCAGGACACTTACCACTTCATCAATAAAATTAAAAACCTTCAGGTACCTGGTCATACCTTTCTGTTTACCATTGACATTGAATCTCTGTACACCAACATTGAAACTCCACTCGGCCTCATTGCCATTCAAGACATTTTTAATAAATACCCCGACCCAGATAGACCTGATCAAGAAATAATCCAACTCCTTAACATCACCTTGACTCGGAACGACTTCACATTCAACAATAAACACTATCTCCAGTTGTGCGGCTGTGCAATGGGCCGGAAATACTCTCCGGCGTATGCCAACATCTACCTGGCCCATTGGGAGAGAACGGCCTTTCTCAAACTGCAGCACAAACCCCTCCTTTACTTCCGGTACCTGGATGACATCTTCGGCCTCTGGGACCACACCGAACAGCAATTTCACACATTTTTGGACACCTTAAATGCACATCACCCGAAAATAAAACTCAAACACAACCTTCAACACCTTTCGGTCGAGTTCCTGGACACCAGGGTCTTCTTCCAAGAATGCAGCGTCCAGAACAAAACCCTGGCCACCAAAGTTTTCTTCAAGGAAACGGACCGTCACGCCCTCCTCCATAAATCCAGTTATCACCCCAAACACACCTACAGAGGTCTTATCAAGTCTCAGCTAATCCGGTTCCACAGGATCTGCACCCTCCCGGGCCATGTGGAGGAGGCAACCAGCACCCTTTTTGGCGCGTTGAGACTCAGGGGTTACTCGAAGCGCTTCCTGAGAACGATTAAGGCGGAGGTCGCCGACACCTTCAGAGGCGGCACCGACACCCCACAACCGCCTGCCCAGTCCCTCGTCCCCTTAATTTCAACATTCTCGGAGGCTACCCATAACCTGCTCAAGACCATCAAGAGCAATTTTCAGGGGACGAGGGAACACTGTGCCGCCCTGGAGGACAGCCGTGTGATCTCCGCCTTTCGTAGAAATAAAAATCTCAAGGACATCCTGGTCCACACTGACCTCAACAAGCAAGGGACCAGGAGGGAGGCGCTTCGAGGTTCGGAGATCGGTTTTATGCGTCTCCCCCATGTTTTTAACCCCCAGAGCAGACTCGGTTTTAACTTGGGGCAGGCCCTGCCACCCACAGCTTCTAATGTGGTTTATGCTCTTAGATGCAGGGCCTGCCACAAACTATACGTGGGGGAGACAAAGAATGAGCTATATCTTAGAATTAAACAGCATCTCTACATGATCAATAGTGGGAATGGCACGAGCGTCCTATATGTACATTTTAAACTCCATGGCTCACACGGTCTCCAGAGTGTGGGCCTGGAGAGCAGCGGGCGGTGGAGCAGGGCGCAGCGGCAAGCAGCGGAGAGGAAATGGATCCACAGACTGGGAACTATAGACCCGTACGGGCTGAATGAAAAATATTAACTCCCAGTCTGTTTTTTATTGGAGCCTCGCCTGCCACCCCTTTGTCTTTTCCCACGACCCCATTATATCTCCACCATAGCACTTCTTTTATATACATGTTTATTTATATTTATATTTATATATCTATATATTTATACTTTTTCTTCACGTGTGCTCTTAATATTTATGCATGGTTTTATTCACCTTTTTAATTCTTTTTATTGTATATTGTTAAATTATTTATTTATATTTTTTATTTATCTTATTTTTTAATTTATTTATCTCCTGGTGGAGACATACCTTATGTCCTCCCCTTTCCCCATAGGCAGACGAGGCCCCCCCCCCCC